CCATTATAGAACAGCCCCTACTCTCTCACCAGCCCTTTTCATAATGGAAATAGTATCCCCCCCCACACACACACATACCATCTCTGCATTTCCCCTTTTCCCTCCGCCCTTCCAGCATCCCAAAGCCTGAACTTCATGACCCGGATGCGGCCAGTCCAGACAGCCAGACAGCCAGGCAGTAAGGAGACTGATTGATCCCTTCTTTTCTTAGGAGAAGCCATCCCCTTTTGACTTGTGGGTCAGATGGTTTCACCAGCCACAGCTTGATGGGAACTAAAGAAAAGCAGAGAACGGGCCCAAAGACGTGAAAGATGAAACCGTTCACTCCAAGCCTGTCCTCAGCGCCCCGCAATCCCACACTCTCCCTCATCCCTACACTTCCCAAACTTGGTGGGTTCTGAATGGCATCCAACAGGAGGCTCCTGATCCTGCCATTGGGACAGTGTTGTAAAAGAGTCCCAGGATGAGCAGTGCAGGAGACTAAGGTGGATAATTGAGGGTTAACCTTTGGACAGGACCGTTTCGATGACTATAGACTGAGGACCGAGTAAGGATGGAGAGGAAAGAACAGAAGCTCAGGAATCCCTGAGAGGAAAGGCTTTTCTTGGCCGTGATTTATCTCTGAATTCTGGAGGGTATCACAAACCTTCATTTTATCTGTGAAAGGAGCACAGTGACTCTCGGGTCCTTATGAGAATGAACCCTGCACACCTTGTAGGACCGGCCACGTGCACATTCCCTTTGCTTTATCCTTCTTCGCTTGTGATTTCGGGGAAAGAATGGCTGAGATTGCATTTTTGGAGTCCAGCCTCCTTGGTATATAGGAGCATCTGCATGGAAGGGATTGATGCCGTGCACTTGGCTTCTCGTCAGTGTTTCTCTGCCAAAGTTTCCCATTCACCTTGTGGGGCTTCTTGTCCACACAGCCAGAAATTCATTCTTTATTGGAAAAGGATTTGGGGTGGGATGAAATCTACTTTCATTTCTGGCTCTTTCTCCCCATCCGAGCTCTTACCACTTGACCAGGGATAAACACATGTATTGATCTTAAACTCCCTTTACTGTGAAGTCAAGAGAATGAAACAAGGAGCCTTTATTCTGAGCCACTAGGCATATCCCTGTCCCTAAAACAATTCATTTGCATGTCAGAGCAAAATGCTTTGGCTCATGGTAGCCTCTAGCCTGCCCTGTTCATGTTCCTGTGGCGAGTAGGAGGGTGGGTTTCTCACAGCATGCTCACCTGCCCCTGCCTGGCTCAAAGTCCACAGCTGCCGTGCTCACACCACCAGCAGCAGAAAGTCTGCAGAAGATGTCAGGCCCCCAACCCGACAGGTCTCTGGAAAGCCACTCCTGTATGACGCTACGACATGGAGCCTCTGAGTCTTTCAAAACCCTGGACTCTTACTGCCTAGGGAGGGAGAGGGGAAAATAAGGGCTTTCAGACATGACCCAGGCATAGCAGCTGAAGAGGCAGTCTGGCTCTTTCTCAAGCTCCCCAGTTCTCATTTTGTGCCCAGCATTGCTGAGAGTGGGAAGTTCCGAGGCAACCTAGCTCAGAGCTGGACTTAGGGACCAGTGACATTTTATAATGTTGCCCTGCCTTTGGGGAGGGGTTTCTGAAGACAAGAAAGCCAGAGAGGCTTCTTCTCCAGAGCACGGATAGGTAGCTCAGTCTCTTCAAACAGTTGACTCAACCTAAGCTATAGAGCTTACAAGGGCTAGAGGGGCTTGGAAGTAAATCCAAGCCCCATGACCTTCTCGTGGTCTTCTGGAGATGAAGTACCTGTGGGAGGCATGGTGCAGGTTGCCAGGTTGTGGCTTTCTCAATTAGTTAACTCCTCACTGCCCAAAACCCATCAAGTTCCAGTGACCATCAAAGTGTGATTGCTGGATCAGCAATGTCAGAATCATCTGGGAACTTAGGGATGCCTGTCCTCAGGATTCAAGATGGATGCCCTGGGTGGTAATCTCTGGGGTAGAAGCCTGGTGCTCTGGTCTTAAAACACTCTCTGGATGATTCTGAGGGGACTGCCCATTGGTAAGTGAGGAGGAGGCTAGATGGGGATCTGACTGCAAACTCAGCTTTTCCTCAAGTGATTGGCCACTCTGGCACATCTTTGCATTCTGGATGTCACGCTGATCTCAGTAGCTGGGGGAGACTTGGCTAGGCTTTCATTTCACCTTCTTTCAAATAAAATACCATCCATAACGAAAATGATATTTACCATCTTTACAATTCGGAATACATTGATAGTATATTTTTCTAGGGATGGATGGACCAACAAATATCTGTTCACCTAAGGTAGGATACCAAGAGCAGATGGAGGCAGCTTGACAAGCAAATGTTTATTAGAGGCACAGGATTGTGAATGACCAAAAATAGCTGTATCACCAAAACCTCCTTCCCCAGCATGAGTCCAAAACTGTATCAACGGAGTCTTCTCTCAGCCTACTGCATGCTATACATGTTAGCACCTTCCAAGACAACATGCAGCTGGAAGGATTCAGTGTGGCTGGAATGGAAACAGGGAGGAGAGAATGGCTGACATCTCAGATAAGAGTCTGATGATGTCCCCAGCCCCTCTATAAGGGCATAATAATAAGACTGCTCTCTCTCTCTCTCTCTCTCTCTCTCTCTCTCTCTCTCTCTCTCTCTCTCTCTCTGTGTGTGTGTGTGTGTATGCACATGTACATGTGCACATATTATGAGTGTGTATGTGGGATGTATGCTCATGCCACTGTGTGTGTAGAGGTCAGACGACAGCCTTTGTATTGGTCCCTGCCTTCTTTGCTTGAGAATAGGCCTCCTCTTTTGCTACTATATATACCAGGATGATTTGCCCACAGGCTTACAGGTATACTCCCTCTGTTTCCAGTCTCACCATGGGATCTTAATATCACACAAACAGCTACTACAACCAGTCTGGTCTGGGGATCCGAACTCAGGTCCTTGCCCTTACACAGCACATGCTTTCTTCACGGAGACATCTCCCTAGCTTCATAGGCTGGTGGTGTGAGTTAGAGTCACTGTGATTTCAAGATCACAATGGCCATGTGGTCCACAGAGGACAGAATCCCACAATACAAATGTTGATAGACTTATTGATATACCCAAGTGCAGGAATATACACATTTTATAGATGAGGCATGTGAGACCTGGCCCCAGGCTGGAGAGCTGTTTTACCAGGCTACATTTTCACTCCCTGGTCTTGCCAGGTCACTCAGCCTGCGTGGCTCCATGTGTCATCACTAGCCACCTGGGAATGACTAGGCCATGATGAGAAGATGACTTCCCAACGGAAACTCATTTTTTCCCAGTCATACTTTTTTAGCCTTTCCCCTGCCACGCCAAAAATATACCGCTCTTCAAAGGCTATGAGACAGAGATAGGGATGCAGAGCAGGGAAGAGCTTGGAGTATCTGAGCCATTTCTCCAGCTAAGGAGACTGTTGTCATCTACCCGTTGCTGAAGATTGCCTGTAAGGAAGAAGGAAACAGGGTAGGTCACGCTAGACCCTGTGGGATTTGAACTCGGAGAGGAAAAAGCAGTACCCAAGCCTCCCAAGCCAGTAGGCCCAGCCTCCAAGTCATGCCCCTCAGTCACTGTCATCACGTGGTTCCTCACTGTGGAAACAGTCTGCCACGGCTCTTCCTCCTTCAGCTTTCACTGTTCAGCGAGGTCATTTGAGAGGATCTTCTTTGCCGACTCGGCGACATGCTTTATCATGTCGATACAGGCGTTTAATGGGCTTTTGCCTATTGAGCAATTAATGTAAAGGTCGGTGAGTAATCCCCCTCACTCCCTTTCATCGCCAGCCCCCTGCTTCAACAATTCCTTGGTAGCATTCTTTCCAAAGAAGTGGGAGGGCTGAGGTCGCAGCTCTGCTCCCTCCTGGCCGACACACTTTAATTAGGTTACTAAATTAGCAGAGGCACTGGCAACTCTTTGCCCAGACCTCAGTTCTGAGGCTTGTCTTTGAACTTGCCATTTGTGATCTCATTGGTTTGCTTTCTCTTGGAGGAGCTGTACTGGCCAGCTAGAGATTTCCCTGAAATAATTTTAGCTACCTGAGTGTTTTCTATCTTGAACAGGGTGCTGTTGGGCTATGTGTGTGTGTGTAGGTATGTATGTGTGCATGTGTGTGTGTACATGGTTTGTGTATGTGCATGTGTGTACTTATGTGCATGTGTATATATGTATATGTGTGTGCATATGTGCATGTACCTGTATGTATATGTATATGTGGCTATGTGTATGTGCATGAGTTTGTATGTGTGGGTGTGCTTGTATTTGTGCGTATGTGTGTGAGTCTGTGTGTGTGTGTGTGTGTGTGTGTGTGTGTGCTGAACACATGTTTCTTCCAGCACTGAGTCAGCCTCTTAGTCTGGATAATCTACTTCATCAAAAGGCTTCAGTGAGAGGGGTGTTGCTGTTAACACCATTTTACAAATTGAGGCTCTAGGATTAAATAACTTTCCAAAACCAAAGAGAGACAGAGAGAGAGAAAGAGAGAGAGAGAGAGAGAGAGAGAGAGAGAGAGAGAGAGAGAGAGAGAAACCAAGAGGGGCATGGAGTCAGGATTCAAACCTGATTCTCAACCCCATCCTGGCAACCTTGGGTTTAAAGAGCTGCCAATAGCTCATTAATATCCCTTGGGGACTTGCTAGGGATGCAGAGTCTCAGGCCCCCTGAATCAAAATCTGCATCTTGCCAAGGTGCCCCAGTTCATGTGTGGTACTACGGGAGATGGAAGCAGCCTACATTCAGTGACATCATTGATTCCTGGATTGCAAGCTATCATCAGCTCTGGTCTTCATCTCAGAAAACTGAGGTGCAGAGTACTGGCACAGACATCACCCACAACGAAATGACAATTTCTGTGCCCAAACTGGGATGTGGACATTTGGCTTTTCTCACTGTGAGCTCAGAAGCGCCCTGGATTCATGCTGTTCTGATGGATGACAGAACCTGACTGTCCCCCTTTGTCATGCTCCTACAGATGTCCAGCACATCAAGAGGAGAGACATCGTGTTGAAGAGAGAACTGGGTGAGGGAGCCTTTGGAAAGGTCTTCCTGGCTGAGTGTTACAATTTAAGCCCCACCAAAGACAAGATGCTCGTGGCAGTAAAGGTAAATCTTGGGGTGCACGGGCAACCAGGGCAGGGCTGGAGGTGGTCCTGTGAGGTGGAGGACCGTTGAGAAGATGGTGTTAAACTGGTCTCAGACTCTGTTAGGGACCCTTGGTCCAGAGTCGGTCAAGCTTCCAATAGGCCAAACATGACTGGTTTGAGAAGTCAAGAACAGCAATATGTAAGGGGGCTATGCCTGGGGACTTCTGACTGAGAGGCTCCGACTGAATGGGGAGCTTTAGGTCACTCAGTTCAGTGAGCAAGCATATGCTGTTTGCCTAAGTAGGCATTTGGCCACGTCTTAGGAGAAGAACTGGATGAAAAGGGCTGTCTGATGAGTCAGGGAAGCCCCATGTCGAAGGTACTAGACATCACATGAGGAACAGAGGAGACAAGGTTGGAATGACCACAGAATTAGCACCTGGAACTGATGGACGAGGTTGGGATACATTCTTAAATTCTTGCTATGACATCTGAGCTTAGTCTCCCAGGAATGTAAGCAGAAGGTAACTGCAGTTGCAGAAGGATGTTTAGCCACAGGACTGTGTGCCCCTGAGGCTCCAGGCAGGTTTGCAACTGGGGATGGATTGATGGGAAGTACGGAAAGAGCTTTGCTCCCACTGATTACCCTCCTCCAGCCCAAATCGACAGAAGGCCTTCTCGCTCCAGATTAGTGCTGGACAGGCCTTGACATGTTCACCAGTCAAGTGTCACATGGACTCACTGGCCTGGAACCACACTATAGAGTCAGGAGAATGGAGGGGCCTCTTTTCGTGCACCCAGCGTGAGGCCATTATGGAGTTTGCATGGTATTCCAGAATGACAGATGACCATAGTGATAGAAATGAGAGGCATAACCACAGAGGAGGGCACTCATTAGGACCTCAGAACAACCCCATCTTTAGTACCAAATAGCCTGATGGAAACTCTATTGTGAAGGCAATTTATGTTTCTTTGACTTTTGGGTCTTTGTATCTCTCCAGTCAATCTATCTGTAGGTTGACTCTGCCCATAGAGGGTGAACCATCCGATAGATACAGAGAGGGTAGTGCAGGGCACCATCGGGCATGGGTGCAGAGGGAGAGCCTGGATACAAATCCCCAATCCTTCACTGATAACCTCCATGACCTTGCGTGGAACTTAAGGCGGGCTTCAGTCTGAAGTATAGGAGTAATAATATTGCTTCACAATGTTGATGACTAAGTAAATGCTCAACAATGAGCAAAAATTGTTTTTAATAACTGTATTTATTCCTGATGCTGACAACACTGATATATTTAGACACATCATATATGACCCACTGAGCTTTTATTTACTTGAAATTTTTTTTTCCTTTAAGGGACCAGAGACTAAATATTTAGGTGCTGAAGGCTGTGCACTGCTGTGTCTCTCAACCCTGCCTGTCCAATGGGAAGGCAGCACAAATATCCCATGCACTGCACGAATAGCTGTTTCCCAAGACAGAGATTTTACTAAAACAGGCACAGACAGCTGATCTGTGTTTTGAAAATAAGTACCTAGAATATTGTCCCACAAAGGGCTAATGATTATTGATACTGTGCATTCTTGGCGTGAACTTGAGTGTCTTGGTCAAGGCTGACAGAAATGATTCTAATTTTGTCCTTAACCTTCGTGTCTGCCCTGCTGTGTTATGTTTTATGAGTAGGAGGACTCTCATCCACTGGCTGTCCCCATGTCTGTCTGGGAAGTGGCAAAGGAGCCAGCTTGAGAGCTTTCCACAGGAGATAAAAGATTGACTGAGAAGCATGGGTCTCCGTCAGGTCTGGGGAGAGTCTGGCACAGAGAGGCGCTTGCCAGAATGTGTGAGGCAGAAACACACTGTGTCTCTGGTTGCATCCTTTCCAATGGGTTTCCTCCTCCCCATGGGTCTGGGAAATTCACAAGTGCTCTGGAATTTGACACCATTTGTCAAGCAATGGAGCTAGCTGCCTAGCCCAGCCCATGGCCCTCCGAAGAGTCTCATGTGCTCCAAGACCACCCAGGGATGCGAGTTCTCTACTCTCTGTCCTGTCTGGATTCTCATCCTTTTGCAAGCCTTTCTCTTGACTCTGCTCTCATGTTGATGGAGGGCAATTCTGTACTGCTGGAGGACACTGGCAGACATAGACCAAGATTAGGTTTCCTCAAAATTGGGTGTGGGTTTACAATCTGTTTTTTGTGAGTGGTTTTTTTTGGCCCAGCAGTTAATATATA